AAAAAGAATCAATAGGATGAAGACTAAAAAAGTGTCTATCTGATGTATTGTTGCAGAGTGAAGGGTGGGGAAAAACCAGAAAGGAGATGGTTAAAGAATGAGTGGGGAGAGAAGGTATTGAAATGATGAGTGTTGACAACCACTGAAAAGTTTCTCTATGAAGAGGGAGAAAGATGTGGTGTGTGTGCGAAAGAGAGAGGGAGACTTGAACTTGTTTAAAAGTATTCAATTGAGTAGGAGGGGTTATGTGCAACTTCTCGATTGAGGAGAGAAAGGATCATAGCGGAAGGAATTCAGAAGTGTTTGGAGGCTGTGGCCTTGGATTAGAGAATGTGGAATGTAGGCAGGTTTTTATGTTTGATGGTTGAAGGAATAAATGATAGGGAAAACAAACACATCTGTGAATGAAGAAATGTGAGTCAAGACAAACATAAGTACTGGTCCTAGGTAAGTACCAGGTCCTTAATATAACCTATATTATATCTTATAATATGTATATAATTATATATACCATATAATATATAATATAAAGACATTATAAGATCCTTAAATAACTAGAGGAGTACCACTTCTAAGTTTCGAGATCACACTACATTTTTCTGAGTACTACTCTGCAGATCAAGAGGACCTCTCTGGGTTACTGGTGGAAGAAAGTTCCAAGTATATTTCATTTTAGACATGTTCGAGAAAAAGACGTTTGGAGAAAAAGTTTCACACTATGCTTATGGTGAAAGGGTCTAAAGTTTCAGTAGTGCCTCAGGAAAGGGACCTGAGAGTTATGTAGACTCTTTACTGGGAATGCTGGACATGTTGCATGTTTTTGCGAAAAACCAACTAAGCATATCGTCAGGAAGAAGCCAGGGCGGGAAATGCCAAGCAGCTTCAGCCCCGTTTAAAGTCTATATGTTAAAATCCTAGCCCATCTGCACGTAGTATACTCAGTCCAAAGGTGACTCTTCAGGAGAAACAGCAGGGCAGGAAAGTGTTCAAAGAAAGGATAACTCAGAGAATAACAGGGAATTCCCTAAGTTTATGAGGACAGACAGGCAAGACCTGCATTCATCCATGCATAGTTGAACAGGGAAACTAGGGAGCAAAATTGAAGCCTTTGAAATCAAAGGGAGGGGGAGGGTGTAGCTCAAGTGGTAGAGCGCATGTTTAGCAATAACAAGGTCCTGGGTTCAATCCCCAGTCCCTCCTCCAAAAATAAATAAACCTAATTACCTCCCCTCCCCCACCAAAAAAGTTAATAATGCAATAATACATACATAAAATATTTTTAAAAATAAAAAAATATGAAGTCAAAAGGAGAATGAGAGGAGAAACAGACCCAGGTTCCATACATTAGACTTAAGGCAACCTCTTGAGGAATAAAATAAGTCAAATATTAAGGCCAATTAAAAATAAATAAGGCTTAGAATTTATTTCCCTGGAAGTAAGTTGGGGAGATGAGCTCAGCTTAGAATGACTAAAGCATATGGGGTTTAACTTAGGCAAGAAGGGTGCTGTTATCCTGGGCAGGCTGGCCTCATGCTCCCCAGCCAGGCCAAGTTAGCGTCCCTTGGTCCTGGTTCCCTGGCCCCAGGCCTGGACATGCCAGAAGCCGGAGAACATCCAAGAGAAAAAGACACAGTCAGCCTCCCTGGGCGTTACCAGGCCAGTTCTCTTTCCTCGCCTGGTCGGTCTGGTGATCCCAACACCCTTCTGCTACGCCCTTCCCCCTGCCCTCCCCTCGGGTTTAGATCAGCCCTTATTCCCCATCTGCCTTGGCCTGATTTCTGTGGGTCCTGATATAGTGTCTTTATCGGTCTGAGGCCACGTTCTTCACTGCTGCTCACCCGGCTGGCCATGTGCTTATAAGGCCAAACAGCTGTGCAGGGTGGAGCCTTGGGTGGATCTCGTGTCATCCTGCCACAAGGAACCCTTCTGACCGTTTGAAAAGAAATCTTGCCCCTGGTCCCAGTGGCACCAGTTCCTTCCACTTGGTTCTAGACTGACCCTGTCTCTGCTATTGTCTTATCCTCACAGAAAGTTGAGGAAGCGAGCGGCCAAAACCTCGGCCCGACGCTCCAAGCCCCTTGGAAGGTAATGGGGCAAGAGCCCCGGGACCTCCTGCTCACCACGGTGGCCCCAGGAGGTGGATGGATGGATGGAAGGCAGCCTATCCATGTCCATCCCAGAACCCAAGCCCATGAATTAGGGCTACGACTGGGAAATGGCCATTCCAGCGGGGAGGGGTGGGGAGGCAGGCATGGGGATGGGTAAGCTTTGATCTTAGGAAGCACAAGGAGGAAATAATGTCGGAATGTCTGAGGAGGAGCCCCTGCATCTTTATACTTCCCCCAGATAGCTTGGACTCCAGCCTCAGCCACCTGCATGCTTCCTCCTTCGCCCGCCTACTCCTGACCTCCCTTAATTCACCTACGTTCCCATTCTTTCTCCTCCCACTACTATTTCTCTATCTCGTTTCCCCTCATCACCTGGATTGACATACTAGACTTCTCATCACTGTTGCTAAATCCAGAGAGCGGCACAAGTTCCCAAAATACACTCAAGTGGTATGCAGCATCAGTGTCTGTGGACACCCTGACCACCTTCGCTTTACCGCTTCCCATGCTCTGCATGAAGGGGCCTTCCTAGAAACAGAGAAAAAGAAAGAAAGAACCCCCTACCTTTCCTGGTAGTGTAACTGACCGCTGCCTCCACTAACTTCTTTCTCCTTTTTTCAGACAAGTCACCAAGCTTAAAGTCAAACCCAAACCCCGAGTGGGCAGGGGGCCAGTCAAGAGGTAAACAAAGTTCAGGCTGGGTGGAGAGGAGAGGGGTGCCAAGTGGTGAGTCGGGGGCATCGGGCTGTGGTGAGGAAGGGGTCCAGAGAGGCCTCTGCCAAGAGGTGGGGGAGCAGCAGCAAGGATTACAAGCCACCTTCCAGATGGTTCCCTGAAATGTAAAGTAAAGCTGGCCCTCATGTCGTTCTCTGAGGAGTTAAGCTTGTCACGGGAATTTTTGAAATCTCAACAGAAGCTCATCCACTGACTGCCCTTGTTCCACGTGCTTATTTATCTTTCCGCAGTGGATTTTAGCAGGTACTCTGGCCCTTTGGTCTTTCACATGCCATGCTTGCCTCTCCCCTAAGAAGTCACGTTTGCCTAAGGGACCAGTGTTCCCATCCTACATTTATTTGATTAATTTTTTTTAAATAAGTGCTACCGACTTGGAAGTAAGACTCGGGATCCCCTCTGGAACCTTTACCAGGGATGGAGTCAGATGACAGTCCTGTCTCTCTGGCCCAGTTTCCACAATGAGGCTCCCAGTTCCATAATTTTCCTCCTGGGTTCCTTCAGAGCCCCAGGGAGTGGAAAGCTTCCAGTCCCAGTGATTACGTCTCACTTGGCTTCCAAAGGCAGTTTGAACATGAAAATCTCCCTGATAGCTTCTTTAGCCATGGCTGAGATGTAGAGAACCCATCCCTTTCTCTTGTCTCCTCCTCCCTGCAGAGCATCCCAGGATCACTCAGTGGTCCCTCCTCCAGTACCCCTCATTCCCCAGCTCCTCCTTCTGTGGCTTCAGAGGGGCTTGGAATTTGGGGGTATTCTTGTCCTGCCCTTCTAGCTTAGGGTCGTGTTGTCCAACATGGCCATACTCTGGCCTTCCCTAACCCCTAAACTAAAGTTCACAGTGTCATTTTTACTTTGTTAGCTGGGGGGAAGGGCTTTGTTAGTTGCAGGGAAGGGGAGGAGGGAGTTTAGAAGACAGATGCCTTTTTCCTATGATGGCCTCTTTGATTTTATTTTCAGGCAGACAGGGCTTTGGGAGACAACCTGGGCTCTTTGAGCTTCAGAATCCACTTATTGTGAGCTTCTAAAGGTATTCTGTAAAGTCTCCAGGCTTCCTTTGTCTGTTTTGTTGATAACCTTTCCATCTCTCTGTGTCTTACCAGCCAATGACTTCAAATTGTCATATTCCCTCCTTCCTCTGACATTAAGTCGTGGAGCACGTTACTGCAATAGCTCACCACCTAACCAGCCTCCCAGGCCAACTCTGCCAACACCAGGCCTCCTCTGGTTCTTTCCCAGCTGTTCTGGGAAGAAAGTGCTTCTCTCATTCCAGGCTTCACTGCAGTATCTCATTCTGTTGGTGTCGATAAACAAGTCCCCTCGTTCTTCCTAGCGTCTCTCTGCAGTGTTTCCAGGTCTTAAAACCTCTAGTTTAGTCCCGTTTTCCTGCTCCATGGCTACAGAACATTCTCTCTGTTACGTTTGAGTTGCAGAAGCGTGGACTACTTCATTAAAGATGCATACAGTTCAGCTCAGGTCTGGGGCTACGTCTACCCTTCTGTGTTCATATTCGCTCTCCTTCTCCGCTCATGTGGTCCCTGTAACTTTTGGCTGTCTTGCATTTATACATTTTCATCCCTCCATACGCCATCTCCAGACTTTCCTGTGTCCACCACCCGGTCTGTTCTTCACGTAACTGCCCAGCATCCTCTGGCCTCTAGGAAGCCACGTAGACCCAGACTTACTCCTTTGCATCCGGACTCATTCAGTCATTTCAGTCTCAGTGTAACAGAAGGATCTGCTCGCTCTGGCTACTTAGGCTTCCTGTTTGTGTCAGCTGCTCCTTCCTGCCTGTCTCCTCCAGCTGGGCAGCCCTGGCTTCCTTTTCTTTTTACACAGCAGCCTCAGCCTCCATTAGGGCCAGCATCCTGAAACCATATGGGACAAGGTTTTGTCTGGCAAGTCAAGACCCATAGGGTTCTTCTGCTGCACAAGGTCCCCAGCAAATCCCACCCACCCCCATCCCCGCTGTCCGGTTAACCTAGGCTCTTTCAGCCTAGAACTACTCACCGTTACCTTTGTCTCTTTGCAGAGAAGAGGGGAAGAAGCCCAATGTGGCCACGAAGGGTCAGGGGTGGTGGAGGGATGGAGTGGGAGGAGGGATGTGGGCGAAGAGGCAGGAGCATTGTTTTACCGTACTGCACCCTACTCCTGTCCCCCCAGGCTGCTGGCCCAGCGGCAGCAACACTCCTTTGGTCTGCATGGGGTGGACTGCGTGGGCACGGAAGCCCACCTCTCCCTCTGCTCCTTGGAGTTCTATCGTGCCAATGACACCGCCAGGTGCCCTGGGGGGTCCCCTGCGGTGGTGAGCTGTGTGCCAAGCCCTCTCTATGCAGCAGCGTCCAGTGGCCAGAAGAAGCAACAGTCGAAGCCTCAGGGGGAGGTGTGTGAGACAGTGACTCTGACCTTCCCCATCCCAGGTGGAGAACCCCCTAGCCTGGCCACACCCTGTCTAAGCACAGCCCTGACCTTTGAGGACAGAGAGGAGCCTTCCAGGGGGTGGGCCACAGACCTGAGACTGCCCCCTCCCTCCCAGCAGAATCTCATTTATCTCCCAGGTCTGTTAGCCCTCTCTGTGCTGAGGTCCCCATTCACGGCTGGTGGGTACCTCTCTCTCCTCTACAGGCCCGAGTGCGTCTAAAGGGCGGAGCCCACCCAGGAGAGGGCCGGGTAGAAGTCCTGAAGGCTGGCACGTGGGGTACAGTCTGTGACCGCAAGTGGGACCTGCAGGCAGCCAGCGTGGTGTGTCGGGAGCTGGGCTTCGGGAGCGCCCGAGAGGCGCTGAGTGGTGCCCGCATGGGGCAGGGTAAGGGGTGCAGGTGGGAGGGGGAAGGAGGAGGTACACACTTCCGGTGGGTACATTCCTTGGGAAGGAGACCCCTGGGCAGACAACGAAGGTCTAGCTACAACCTCCTGGTCTTTGACCTGTGACCTTAGGCATGGGTGCCATCCACTTGAGTGAAGTTCGATGCTCTGGACAGGAACCCTCCCTCTGGAACTGCCCCCACAAGAACATCACAGCTGAGGACTGTTCCCATAGCCGGGATGCTGGAGTCCGATGTAACCTGCCCTACACTGGGGTAGAGACCAAGGTCAGTCCCTCTTTGCACCTTGGTTCAGGTGTTTCACGTCCTATCCAGTCTTGGTCATGATCCACCAGTCTGATGGCCCTGCTGCCCACTGCCCCACTATCCAGTAGCTCTCACCTGATGCCACCACTTGCTGGCCCTTTAAGTGCCTCAGGCTCGCTGTTCAGCCCAGGTCTGCTGCAGGCTCCCTCCACTCCACCCCAAAAGCTTTCCCAGCACTTCTGTTGTGTCACTACAGATCCGACTCAGTGGGGGCCGCAGCCGACATGAGGGACGAGTCGAGGTGCAAATAGGGGGACCTGGGTCCGTTCGCTGGGGCCTCATCTGTGGGGATGACTGGGGGACACTGGAGGCCATGGTGGCCTGTAGGCAGCTTGGACTGGGCTATGCCAGCCATGGCCTGCAGGTGAGTGCGCAGGAGAGGGGAACCAAGGCCCTTGCCTCCCAGGGCTGTTTGGGGCAGAGGACTGTGGAAATGAGTCCCTTGATCCGGGAGGCTAATGGGGGGACCTCACATAAACACCTCGATATGTCCCCAGGAGACCTGGTACTGGGACTCAGGGAATATAACAGAGGTGGTGATGAGTGGAGTGCGCTGCGCAGGGACTGAGCTGTCCCTGGACCAGTGTGCTCATCATGGCACCCACGTCACCTGCAAGAGGACAGGAACCCGCTTCACTGCTGGAGTCATTTGTTCTGAGAGTGAGTGAAGGGCGGGGTGACGCAAGCCTGGGAAGGGAGGCCCTGGGCCACCCTTTTGCAGGGAAAGAGGGCTGTCATCTGCAGGGGTATGCCTTCCAGGTGGAAAACCAGAGCTCTGCGGGAGGGGGGTGCAGCGGTCCTGTCTGGCCCCGCCCCTCAGCTGTAACTAACACTCTCCGTTCTTTCTGGGGTGCAGCCGCGTCAGACCTGCTGCTGCACTCAGCGCTGGTGCAGGAGACGGCCTACATCGAGGACCGGCCCCTGCACATGCTGTACTGCGCTGCCGAGGAGAACTGCCTGGCCAGCTCGGCCCGCTCAGCCAACTGGCCTTACGGCCACCGGCGTCTGCTCCGATTCTCCTCCCAGATCCACAACCTGGGACGTGCTGACTTCAGGCCCAAGGCGGGGCGCCACTCCTGGGTGTGGCATGAGTGTCATGGGTGAGAGGGGCGAGTAGAAGGGCAAGGCCACCGGGGTTAGGGCAGGCTTGCGGGGGGGCAGGGAAGGAAACAGGGGTTCCTTTATCCCCACAGGCATTACCACAGCATGGACATCTTCACTCACTACGATATCCTGACCCCCAACGGCACCAAGGTGGCTGAGGGCCACAAAGCTAGTTTCTGTCTAGAAGACACAGAGTGTCAGGAGGGTGAGTTGGGGCTTAGACGACAGTATCCCCATCCCGCAGACTTGCCTCACACTGACATATGCTGATCTCTTCAGATGTCTCCAAGAGGTATGAGTGTGCCAACTTTGGAGAGCAGGGCATCACCGTGGGTTGCTGGGATCTCTACCGGCATGACATTGACTGTCAGTGGATTGACATCACAGATGTGAAGCCAGGAAACTACATTCTACAGGTGCCTGGGGTCTGAGATTTCCAGCTGTCAAGTGGGAGGAGCTTTTATTAAAGCACCTTTGATCTGATTTGAAGGCTGCAGCTGGCTGACTTCCTTCCACTCACAGGTGGTCATCAACCCTAACTTTGAAGTGGCAGAGAGTGACTTCACCAACAACGCAATGAAATGTAACTGCAAATATGATGGACATCGCATCTGGGTGCACAACTGTCACATTGGTATTTGGTGGGAAGAGTAGCCAGAAAGACTGGGGGATGGGAGGGAGAAGAATGAATTCTCTGCTCCCTAAGTTGTTCCTCTGGATCTCCCAGTCTCTCCACTTCTACCTGCCCTTCCCCACAGTGGGTCTGTTTTCCTGCCCAAACCACCCGTTCACCTTGCAGGTGATGCCTTCAGTGAAGAGGCCAACCAGAGGTTTGAACGCTACCCTGGCCAGACCAGCAACCAGATCATCTAAGGTGCCACCACCCTCCTCTGCACACCACCACTGGCCCCCAGTGGCAGGGGTCTGAGGCTGCCATTACCTCAGGAGCTTACCAAGGAAGAATCCCTGACGTCAGCAGGCCCACAGCACTCATCCAGTGTGCGCTGTGGGTGTGGAACTGTCAAGCGGAAGTGATCGCCCTTCTTAGGCCAGCTGTCCGGATCTATGGCCACACAGGGGGCACTTTTGCTCCCAGGCCCAGCACCAAGCCAAGTACGCCACAAAGAGGAGCACCTGATTAACTGCCCAGAACAAAAGACAGCCAGCAGCTCGTTTTCTTCAAGAGGGAGGTCAGAATGGTCAACTCCAGTATCTCCCCTCAGTTCAAGGAGATACAGCTTTACCTCTAACCTTTTAGTGGGGGGACAGAGCAGTGTGCTACCCTCCCCCTCATTTTTGAGTATAACATGTTGCTAGGTATAATTTTATTTTATATAAAAAGTGTTTTTGTGATTCGTTAGAGCTCAGGCATTGGTGCTGGTGGTTGGAGGGACCTGCCTCCAACTGGTTCATTTAATCCTCTGTCCAGGTGCCCTCAGAGCCTAAGCCAGGAAAGCCAGGTGGAAATCAGAGCAGAAAGAAGCCTCCTACTCTTGCTGATCCATTCATTCTGTGACTTCAGGGGTCACATACAAGGTCAATGTTTCCGGTCCCCGCCGGATCCGCACTGCCAGCTGGGACTGGGTTCGAACAGCTTCATAAATATCCTCAGCATTTTGTACCAGCTGCTCCCCAATGGCCACGATTACATCACCCGGCCGTAGACCACCCCTATGGCAAAAGATAGAGTTAAAGGAGGCAACAGACAGCTCAGTTCAAGGGCACATGCACACCTCACTGGTCTCCACCTCCCAGGGCAGTCTCTCCCTCACCGGTGTGCAGGGGAGTCCAGGATGACTTTATGGATGAGCACACCATGCTGAACATCAGGAAAGCTTGGTTCTCGAAGCTGTAGTTCAGCAAGGATGCTGAAAGGACACAGGTCACCCTCTTAACACACCAAGGCACTCTCCCCATTTTGGGTTCACCTCAAATCTCTCATCAACACAGACAACTGTATGGACAGGGCATGCAGCAAGAACTCCCGATACAAACCAATTCACTTTCTGCTTTCTAGCAATTAGGAAGTGGGACATGAATAGAAAGGGTGAGTAATGCCAAATGACACACAGTGTTAAATCAATAGCACTAATGTCATTCTAGAATCCTAAGAGAAGCTTTATGGAGGAAATATAACTTAAGCTGAACCTCGAAGGATGGGTCTGATATTTAACTATATAAAGTAAGAACAATATAAATAAAAACATGATACTAGGAAATGAGAATATACAGAATGTACTCATGTAAGGAAGCCAGGTCTGGGGGGTTGAGCTGAATATGATGGCCCCTAAACACCAGGTTAATGGACTGAAAGTTTACTCAAAGCAATAATGGGATGAAAAATCTGGTGGGAGGTGTACAAAATGGAGGGGGGTGGGTGGGTGGTGAGAAAATCAAGAATGACGAGAGGGGACAGCTCTTCCGATGGCACCAAGCATAAAGCAACTCATCTGAGATTCAGACAGAATTGAGAACAAAGCTCAACAGAAGTGCCAGTTGCCCACCACTGATTACCCTGACGGTCCTACACGTCACTACCCCTAAAGCTCGTACCTGGGAGTTAGGGTCAGCATCATCACCCCAATGTAGCGGCGCTGGGACCCACTGATTCCAGAGCAGGAATCTGTAATGGAGGGACAAATGAGCCCAACTCAGCTACATCCTTTCCCTCCTTCTCCTCCCGGCAGACCCCTCTCCAGCAAGGCCCAATGAATGCCCCTCCCACAACTTAAAGGAACCCCTATCCCTCCAAACCAGTCTTACTCTTCTTTTCCCCACGATGCAGAAACTCTCGAAGGCGATCAGAAGGGATGGCAAAGGAGATTCCAGCTGTGACCTTCATGGTATTCACCCCAATCACCTCCCCATCCTGCAGGGACAGAGCCCACTATTCTCCAGCCCAAACAAACAGTAGGAGATAGGGGTACCTGAGCAAGAGTAGTAGGAAGTGTTGGGGAGCTGGGGAGACCCGGTGGGATTCTGAGAAATAGCCAACAAGAAACTGCTCAGAAATTTGACCAACCTAATTGTTGAATTAGGGAAAACCCATCCCTTCCCACACTGACCTGGGGCAGCGATTCTTGGAAAGAAGGGTGTCCCACTCACCAGGTTAACCAGGGGACCTCCAGAGTTTCCAAACTGCAAAACAAGGAGAAAATATGGAAAAGACCCAGGGACTCTACTCCTGGGGCCATAACCAGGATGTAGGCACTTTCTCCAAATTCTCTCCTTTCCCAGTCCATGATCAAGTCGTCACATTTTTGCAGCCCATCCACTACCTATCATAGTTGGTGCCTGCACCACACAGCCTCTACCCGCTCCCCCACCTAGTCTGTCATTTCTCTCATATCAGGACTCACATCGATAGCTGCATCGGTCTGGATGTATTCCACATTGGTTTGGGGGAGGCCCAGGTCTCTGGCGGGACGCTGAGCAGAGCTGACAATGCCGGATGTGATCGTGTTCTGCAGTGCAAAGGGGCTTCCCATGGCAACAACAAACTCCCCTTGCCGGACATCGGCTGAGCGTCCCAGGGGCAACGTGGGGAGAGGCTCCTAAGGGAGAATGGGTACAAGAGACCTGTCATCTGGAGACGTGAGCAAATTCACAACCCCAACCAGACATGGCTTGTCCCGACCCCCACCTTGGTCTGAATCCTCAGCGTGGCGATGTCTGCCACGGGATCCACAGCTGTGACCACAGCCTCATACGTGTCACCGCTAGGCAGCCTCACACGGACTCGGCGCCGATCAGCCACCACATGGGCGTTGGTAACGATGAGCCCGTCGGCAGCTACCACGAATCCTGAGCCATTCGAGATAGGTACTTCGCGGCCCGAGAAAGGGTGCCTGGGATGAGGGAGAAAGCACGGATATGAGAAGGCTCGGACCCCTCCTTCTCGCCCGCCCTCCTAGCCCGTGGCTTCGGTGCCTCCGGGTGTACCCCACTGTTACCGGCCCAAGATCTCGATATAAACCACAGCAGGGGCCGTCTTCTCCACCACGTCCGCGATGAAGTTGTACTGGCGCCGGGGAGAGGTGGGTGGCGACCCAAGGACCGAGGCGAGGACGGCCGGGGGACCCCGCCCCCCGCCCCACAACAACAATAGCACTGCCCCCCCAGCGCCCAGCGCCACCGCCAGCCACACACGCGGACGGGTTCCAGAGGTCCCTGAGTCTTCCCGGGCCCGGGGATCTGGGGTCCCCGCAATTAGCCGTGCTCGGGGATCCAAAGTCTCCGACTTCAGACATGTCCGTGGTTCAGGGACCCTCAGAGACAGCCAGGCCCGGGACTGGGGACTGGGGGTCCCATAAGTCACTCCAGCCCGAGGGTCAGGAGCTCCTGACGTCAACAGGGCCCGGA